TATATATACTTTGGCCTATCAGCAACTGCGACACTATAAGTGTTTGTTTTCTAATTGGTCCACCAGCTGCAAGTGCATGATTATTTTTTTGTGTTCCATACTTTACTTTTCCTATCCAGAGGCCATATATTGAGAACTAGCCCTTTGGCCATTGTGTTCCATAAAGATTTGGGTTGGCAGGTGCTCTGGTGTGGTTTGCTCCTTCTTTCCTATCAAACATCTATCGTCGTAAGGTCTATCTCTCCTCCTTCTTTTTCGTGTATGATACTCTCTTGTAACACATCTATTCTTCGGCACTTATATGACCATATTGTGTTGCAAGTGCGGTAAAACTCTTGCTAAAACGGTACTTTGTAACAAACCTTCTTTTTAGTGTATGATACTCTTTTGTAAGACATCTATTCTTAGGCACTTATAAGACCTTATTGTGTTGCAAGTGCCTTAAAACTTACTAAAGCTAAAATAAAGATGTAATCTGTTTCTTAACTTCACCAAGTGCTACAGTACTTACAACTTAGGTCTCAACAAATATATATATATATATATAAAGCTATTCAAGGTTCGATCATCATTAAAAATGATGCAGGTGACTTAATTAAGCCAATGGACTCCCAGCGAGGTTTATTCATCTGGGATACGCACTGAGTACAAATGATATTACTTCTTGCTATCGAAGAATGGAAGTATTGGCCATTAATAGACACTGAGGTAAGATTTATATATATTTTTAATCGATGTTATTTTATTCTAGTCTACAGTGTCTTTTATTATTCCATACTTACAAATTGTGCAAACTCCGTCTATAAAGTTGATGTATCAATTTCCATAGGGCTAAAATCCGAGAAGTAACTCATTTTGTCAGCACACCTCACAAGTTTTGTGTGGCAATATGTGACACATCATGTTGAAATCAGATGCTCGTCAAACTACAGAGCTGAGAGAGTGAAGAAACAGTCATTTTTCCTCCAGTTGGGTACATTTGATAAAAATCAAATTTTTATTTTTTAGCTCAACACCTTTTATGTCCATGTAAAACCACAATTTCATGTGAATTTTACTGAAAAATGTTGATTAATGACACAAAATATGTACATTTTCAGTATTCTAGGACTCCATAAATAAATAGAAGTTACCAAACTTAGGTGGTCATTTCCTCGCTAATTTTACCTTTGAAACTATGCTACTCCTACTCCCTTCAACTTCAAAGGCAAATATCTCGATTTCTTTTCAAGATAGATAGGGTTTTTTTTCAAGGAAACCAAGACAAATGAATAAGATTTCAGATGACATTTTCTACATGCAACAGTAAAGACCCAAACTATCAGACTACCAACACAGTACAAAGAAATAGGAATGACAGTGCACAAACTTCATTTCGTATAACATTTTATTTAGAAAAAAAACATATCGTTGCATAACATTTTTTTAAAACAACCAACAACCCAGACGACAAAAGGAAAAAATGGAATTCCATATGAAGCATTCTTACAAATCAGTCCAAAATTTGCCTACTGACAGCACTTCACACTATGCATTCTTACGTTATTTCCATCCACCCAACTTTGGTACGTCCATCAAAGACCATATATATGAAGCACTTGAGCACACTCTCCCAGGGGATCTTGTGGCCTAGAGGTTAAGGTGTTGGCCTCTCATTCAAAGGTCCCGGGTACGAATCCGGGTAGCGACCGAAAAATTTTCTTCTCTAAAATTGTCTCTTTTCACCTCCTTTCCTGCTCTCTAGCAATATTCTGTCGTCTGCTTTCGTCTCCTCTTTCTGCCCCCACCCCCTCACCTCAATTGCCCCCTCCTCTGGGCTCCTGACTCTTTCTGCAGCCTTTCTACTGCTACTCCTTGACTCCTTCTTACAGCTGTCTTTCTGCCACACCCCTGATCTTCTGGTAGGAAAGATCTACACCTAGCCTTCTCGGACAAGGGCGAAAAATCTCGGAGGGCCCATGTGCAAGTTGTGCACGTTAAAGATCCCTTGGTGGTCTAAAATCGATAAGAGTAGGCTTCAGCCGCCACCCGGGCAAAATTCTCATATGACCTTAGCAGTTGCGAGCGCCGTAAAACCCTATACTATACATACATAGGTGTGTCCCGCGCGCTCATATGACCCTATGCAGTTGCGAGCGCCGTAAAACACTTACCAAAAAAAAAAACCCCCACTCTCCCACAGGTAAAAGCAAATAATGGACTTCAGGTGTAAATACATGTCACAACAGTACAGTTCCTCTTCCTCATCACAAAAAAACTCAAACTCCTGTGTGTGTATAAGAAAACATGAGCTATCAACACTTTTTTCTAATCACTGCACGTTAGTTACTGCTGACATTTCAGGAAAAGACCTTTCTTCAACACACACACATACACACACACACACTCACAAACATTTTTTAAAAAAATGTTCTTTAATGCAACATAATTAAAAAAGGGGAGACATACACTCCTGGAAAAAAAAATTCTAAATCATAGGTAAATAGGATGTACCAAGGGTGAATTTGTTGATTTTTTTCTGATAAATATGTGTCCCTGCCGGTCAATATCAGTCATATGAAGGGAAATGAATAACTGAGTTAACATTATTTTCAAAAACTGGCACCTTTTCCCCACAATATAAAATAAGAATGAAGAAAATATGACCATATTTGACGAAAATACAGAACTTTTACTTGGTGAGGAAAAAACAAAAATTTCATGGAAAGTCACTTTTTTGTCTTTCGAGCCTCGTAGCTGATAAAAGCACACTGCGCCTTACGCCTGATATTGAGCGGGGGAGACAGATATATAAATGTGTCTCTGTGGTGGCTATCTTGGATTTTCAAACTAGTTTCTTAGTGCGGAAGAATTTCATAGAAAATATTGAAACTACATCCTGAAATTTGGCACACAAGTGCAAACCTATGGACAGTGGATCTATGTAAGGATTTTGACCTATCTTTAGAAATAAAAAAAGTGAGCCCAAAGTCAATGGACCCTCGAGAGTCAGTTCACGAAACTTTAGGGTATATCTTAGAAAAACAATGAATATTTCCACAGGTTACCAAGATTTCCCAATTTCCTCACATAGATCATCAGAATAGATCTTAAAGCACTTGTATACCAAATTTATTTGAAGCTTCTAGCTTCAACAGTTTTTGAAAACTACTTGCACCAAGGGGGTCACATATGGCAAAAAGCAGATTTTGAGTACTGTAAAACAGAAAAAACAGGAATTTTTTAAAGGATTTTTAGTTCAATATGCACTTTTAAAATGCCCTTTTGGATCATTTAGTGTGTTCTTTAAACAGACCAGATAGAACAGATGTTAAAGAATGCTTTTTTGCAAAAAAACAAACATCGATATTTCGAAAACTTTTAGATATTTTCTGGGATGGGCAACCCGGGTCTCCCCTTAACCCATAACACTGCTGCTGACCTATTACCTGTCACCATGGCTGTTTTTTGGGGGTTATTTTAGTAGAGGTTTTACGGCGCTCGTAACTGCATAAGGTCATATGAGCGCCAGAAGATTAGAGGTGTTACAAGAGAATAACAAACATAAAAATGAAGAAGGTGAGATACGGACGATAGATGTATCACAGGAAAGAAGAAGCAAACCACACCAGAACACCCACCAATCACCCACTCACCATGGCTGCGTTTATCTGTTGATGTGCCACTCCTTGCCACAACAGGCAACAGTTGTTATAGCACAGAGTTCACTGGAAGAACTGTATCTGCACACATGACTGCTCCCAACTCAAAAGATGCACTAAATTCCCTGAGTAGAAGAGGACAAGTCACTATCTTTCGTCTGCAAACACAACACATCCCATTGAATTCCTACCTAAATAGGATCCGCAAGGATACCCTGCCCGACTGCCCATCACGTGACTGCGAAGACAAAACAGTATCACACCACCTCTTAATCTACCCTGCACTTAGCGATCTGCGTAGTACTTACCTACCTGCCTGCCTAGACATCAGAAATACTCAATACAACGACAAAACATAGCAGATAAAAACCTGTAAATTGTTTGCCATATTGACAGGGCGAATGGCTAGACCTCAAATGGCCGTTGGATCCGAAAAGTAAAGTAAAGTGTAGCACACGTAGCACACGTAGCACACGTAGCACACGTAGCACAGAGTTCCAACAAACATCGAGGCGCCCGCACCAACTGAAAAAACACAACCTGATTGAAACATTTTTTTAAAAACACCTACACTTTCTTATATAATCTGTTCCTGATTTTGTGACACAGCCCTCGCGCGTAGAAATCTCTGTAGTCCTCGGGCAGCTCCTCTAGAGCCTTCATTGCTCGGTCCATGATCTGAGCTGCCCGCTGAGCTGGCACGGGATCCCTGTTGCCGTACGGGTCCTTACTGTCGTAAAGACTGGGATCTAGATGTCTCCAGAAAACATTGACCGCCACTCCGAAATCTTCATACGTCATGTTGTGGAACCATAGGGCTAAAAAATATTTTTGAAAAAAAAAAAAGAGCATGGGTCAGTGAAACTGTGGAGGGCTCAACAGTTTATGGTTAACCCCTTCAATGCCGCAGGTAAATAGCAAAGCTGGGTGAAAGATTCCTTTTTACGTAAAGCAACGGTTACCAGTTACTGTATTCGTTGAAATCTAAAAAAAATATTTTTTTAAAAGTTGGTGCTTTGCAGAGTTCCGATAACAAGGTTATCCTAAATCTGAAGTTGTTCGGAGCCAACCAGGTTACCATCGGTAGAAAATGCATCATTAGAAAGTAAGTAATTGGGTTCCGAGTCGGTTCCTACGATTCCTCGCTTTCTATAATCGGGAACTTAATTGCCCACCATTAGTAAATAGGCCCCTGTGCATGGGGAAATCCCATGACAACCAAAGCTGCTCAGGGGTGACCCCACTCTACCTCCCATAACTTTTTAATTTATGAATATTTTCTCATGAATTTCTGCATGTACATTCTACATTGAACCAAATTTCTATTGATATGATTTTGGGGGGATTTCATTGAGAGATAGATAGAGAAAAGTTGAAGTTAGTAACATGATGCAAAAAAACAAGACTACCAAACAACATAAAACAAGACACATTCGAGTAATGATAAACTGAGACCAAAAAAAAGGGAAATACATGTTGTGTGAGTGTCTGCAGTTAAAGAGGAAGAAACAAGAGCTTTTCCTACCTCATACAACGCTCCTACAATCCATGTAATATATATGTAAGCCCATCTGCGTTTACTGCCAATAAATCATTTTTGAGCGGTAGATGTATTAGACCTAGATCTAATCTTCTCTTTGAGCTAAAATCTTGAATCTGACACTTTCAAATGGGGGGAAAAGGGTGGTAAACATAAAGGGAAGGTACCTCAATAATAACTACAAGATTTAAGCAGTACCTTCCCGTATAATTCAAAACAACCTCTGTCACAGTCCCATTAATTACGGGCCATAGGCACAGCACTACACTGTTCAGATCCGTAAATTCTACGGGCGCAGGAGCAAAGAGGTTAAGGCACGAGCTTGATGTGACAAGTTCAGCATGCATCTCAGAATGTGTGGGCAGGGTCCATGAAATAATTTATTTTTTTTGTCATGACCACAATCTAAAGTCTTCAACGGACATTGGCAATCAATGTTCACTGCTCATTTCTATAGCCGGGTACTCTCATGAGATCTATATGTGAAGCAGCGTGGTGAAATCAGGCGCTCGTCAAAATAATTAAATCAAAGAAACTGCCATTTTCTGACTTTTGGCCAATTTTTTTTATAAATTTATTTTTTAGCTCAACACCTTTTATGTCCATTTAAATACGCATTTCCGTGATAATTTTACTGAAAAACATTGATTAAAGGCCCAAAAACTGTAAATTTTCAGTTTCCAAAGACAGACTCTCAAGCTATGGAAATAACCAAACTTTGTAGGCCATTGTCTTGCTAATTTTACCTTTGAAAGCAGGCCATCCTCACCTCCTTCAATCGCAAATATCTCCATTTCTATTCAACATAGACTGATTTTTTTTTCACCAAAAGCAAGGCAAATAAATTGGCTTTAAGATGATAACAATAACTCTATTATGCCCAAAAATTGATGAGCGCCTGATTCCAACACATTGTGCGTGGTCTTTTCCTGTCACCTGTGTGTTCGAATCCTCTAAATTAACTATTCTTGTCCTAACTCTTCATATTTGAGTTTCTATTTTATTTTTAAAAAAGAATTTCAAAATTCTCAAACAAACAAAAAAAATCATGTGGCACCTGAGCACAGTGGGCAGGCAACTGTTCACCCAGTAATAATAATAATAAAAATAATAAATAGCATTTGTAAGGCGCATACCCCCACTCAACAGCAGGCTCTAGGCACTTTACACTATATTATTACCCCAGCAGACCATAGAACACTCCGAAACATTCTCAGCTACCCAGGAAGCATACAGTGCAAGCAGCTGATTAAGCGCTCAAACACTAACAAACTGACAAGATCTTTCACTGTCTATAGCCGGGTACCCATTCCCACCTGGGAGAAGTGAGGAAAATTAGTGTAAAGTGCCTTTCCCAAGGACACAACGTCGGGCCCCTAACGGGATTCGAACCCACGACCTTACGGTTCAGAGTCCGAGAGCCTAACAACTAGGCCACCGATGCCACAGTAGGTAGACGTTGTACCTACCAAGCTTGACAAACATACAAAACGGTTACAAGGGACACTACAAAGATTGTAATCCATATTGTAAGGGCAATGCAAATTTATTTACTGCTATACGCTAAATTCTAATAATAAATAATTCGAAGAAGATTACATGTGAAAAAAACAACCAAGACCTTAGACGAAAATTGTAAAAAAAAAAAAAAAAAGCTTGGCATCACATCTTAAAAGATATAAAATTTTCTGCATTCATTTTTACATGACGGACCCAGACATTTTTCTCCTTTTAAAATGTCATGTTTTGTTCAACTGTATCACGGCATGAAGCTCCCAAAGGGTATAACTCAAAATAATTGTTACAAAATATATTTTTTTTTTATAGTAGAAGGTTTTACGGTGCTCGCAACGGCATAAGGTCATATGAGCGCAAAGGGGTGGGTGTCAACAGAGAAGTCTTTACAGGGAATCAGACTTATTCTGCTCACCTTTCTAGTTTTAACAGTACAAGGTCTGCTTCGACTATCAAGTCACCCCGAAAATAGCGGGTCACAAGAGTGTGACAAAACATACAAAAGAAGTAGAGGAAAATGACAATAGTAAGGATTAGGAAAGAAAAAAGCAGCAGTTCCCTGTTGTAGATCAGGCACAGTTATGAGCGTGACATGAATCAGCCCATTTACAATTCTACTGTGCTTGAACGAGATATGTGCCCCCTTTGGGAATGGCCTAAAGACACTACAAAATATCTGACTTTGCTGTTTTTCTACACTGTCAAGTAGAAAATACCACATGAGACAAAAGTGGAAAGTAAATGCAACAGAAGCAAAGTGTCAAACGGGACTGTGTACATTATGGCACCATGCCTCGGAGAAAGCAAAGACTGCCGACTCTAAAAACAGCAGGACAAGTCAAAAGTAAATTAAGCATTGTATTTTTTAAAGTATTCCTGGTTGCTGACATTAACATTTTGCCGTCACATCTCGCCGATCAACAAGAGCGCGGAACTTCCACTCCCGTCACAAAATGCAGATTGGCGATGTGTACACTCAGTTTCTTTGGATTTCCCCCAAAATACATGAGATGGCAAGGGTTTTTACTACTATAATATGAGCCTTGTGGTGGCAAATTGTTAAAAGGTCATCAGAAGGAGTTTGAATACTTGAGTACTTGAGTATTGAATTAACTGTGAATTTTTTTAAAAACATTTTCAAACAAAGTGCAATAAAACAAAAAACAAAAATGACGAAACATTTAATTCCAAGTACCTTGATGGCAAAAGCAATCTCGTAAGAATTCTTTAGTACCAGATTATTCCACAAAACGAATGAAAAAATGATATGACTCCGTACTTCTGTACACAATCACCATCATTTTCAAAAGTATTCAGATCACCCTCTGGGATTATCAAAGAAGGAAACCAGCACATACCTGGAATAAAGAGCATATCCCCAGGGTACAAATACCCACGGTACGGTGTGGCCCCGGAAAACAGTGGAAAGCGCTCAAGATCAGGAGAATCTATGTCTAAAATTTCTGACTTGTCTCCTGAAAAGAAAAAAGTTGAGTTGTTAGTGCGTCTTATTGACATAGACAGGTAAAATTTTACAAGCTGAAATTAAGAAGCTGAAAACCAACATAAACAATATTTTTACCTTGATTTGAAAGCTTAAAATATTTCAGTTTTAGAAAGATGAATACACAATTTTAAAAAGTTAGATTTGCTAAGCAAAAAGACCTAATCAGTGAAGAAACAAGTATACCAGAGCGAAGACACATGAAAAGGCACAAAACGCCTTCTCCATAAAATATAACCAGGGAGAATCCTGCTCCTTTTCCATTCAGTCAATTCACGTTCTTCAATATCACTGTGTACATTCAAAAATCAATCTTAGTTTTAGTAAGTGTTTAACGGCACTTGCAACACAATAAGGTCATATAAGTGCCGAAGATTGGAGATGTTACAAGAGAGTAACAATAAACACAAAAAAAGAAGGAGTAAAGATAAGTACGATAGATGTTTGATAGGATAGAAAAAGCAGGAATCTAAAAAAAATGGTACTGGCTGTTTACGTTTTCAGCATAAGACAGAACATTTCCTGGAGTTAGGCTGCAGTAGCCAGGGTGGGGTGAGGAATCTCCTAGGGATAGAAGGTTGAATGATATCTTATGAAAATCACATTCAGGCAAATCTGTATAGAGTGCAACAGGAGAGTGATAACTGGAAAAAACGGTTGGCAGAAAATTAAAAGAAAATCCAGCAATGCGTCCACATCAAAATGCAAGCACACACACACAAACACACACACACACAAACATACACACACAAAAAAACACACACACACACACAAAAACACACACACAAACACACACACAAACAAACACACACACACACAAACACACACACACACTCACATGTGTGTGCTCCAAGAACATCTTACCATTCATGTACAAGAAGTCAGCATCGGACGGGGCAAACAGCACGACTTTTTTGCTTCCCACAATCTGGAGGAGGATGTTATCCATCACCTGGGGACCACATCAAGATTGTTGGGTTTTTAGTTTAGTTCTAGTAGAGGTTTTACGGCACTCGCAACTGCATAAGGTCATATGAGTGCCAAAAGATTAGAGGTGTTACAAGAGAGTAACAAATACGAAAAAGAAGGAGGGGAGATAAAGACGATAGATGTTTGATAGGAAAGAAGAAGCAAGCCACACTAGAGCACCCGCCAACCACACACTATTGGTCTTTTCCCCTTTACAACAAGACGCACTTTTTTTCTTAGGTAAGTGTTTTGCAGTGCTCGCAACTGCAGGTCATAAGAGCGCGCGTGACACATTAAACATTTTCAGTTGAGAGGAAATTTTGAATTTTGCCCGGGTGACGGTCGAAGCTTACTCTTATCGATTTTAGACTACCAAAGGATCTTTAACGTGCGCAACTTCCACACAGAACCTCAGAGATTTTTTTCCCTTGTCTGAGAAGGCTGGGTGTAGATCTTTCCTACCAGAAGATCAGGGGTGTGGCTGAAAGACAGCAGTGAAAAGGAGTCAAGGAGTAGCAGAAGAAAAGCTGCAGAAAGAGTCAGGAGCCCAGAGGAGGGGGAAAAGGAGATGAGGGGGGTGGGGGCAGAAAGTGGAGATGAAAGCAGATGACAAACATTGCTAGAGAGCAGGAAAGGAGGTGAAAGGAGACAATTTTAGAAAGGAAATTTTTCTGTCGTTACCCAGATTCGAACCCTGGACCTCAGAATGAGAGGTCAACACCTGAACCTCTAGGCCATGAGCGCCCCCTAGACCCACTTTAAATCCCTTACACTTACACCAAAATTATCAAAACAAAATTGTTTTCAAAACCTTTACACCAAGAACTATTTTTCAAACCCTTACACCACAACCAATTATTAAAAACCTTACATCGAGATCAATTTTTAAAACCCTTACACCAAGCTGACCAGAACAATATTTAAAACCAAGACTATTTTCTGAAACTCTTACAGTAGACCATTGTAAAAACTCTAGTCCTACCAAGGCATTTCACCAGGACCGGTTTCCCTAGCCCAAGTAAATTTTATAGGAACTACCAAGCTAAGGGCACTAAGGCACACCAGCAAAACGTTGCACAAAAGAAATTAGAATTATCTGTGAAATTTCTTGCAATCAGTCTCAGTCTACAGCTTATAAATTTCTCTCTAAACCCTTTTCATTGTACATCTTCTCTGATTACGTCCTCCTTTAACCACCATCCTGCCCTTTCATAGGTCTTGATGCGTCTCCCGTATAGTGTGCCGTAGTGAATGTGCTTCACGGCAGGAACCATGTCTAATTTCATCCCTGTCACTATCATCTGAACAATAATCTACCTCTATTTCATTTACCTGCCCGCTGGTTTTATGCACCCCGGATAATTTAACAAAATTTGATCATTTTTTGGATAATTTCTGATTATTTTCCTTTATCATTCTTTTTTAAAATTAACAAAATCACATAATTTCACATTTTTGGGCTCACTTTGCATAATTTCAAAATTTGTCTTGCATAAAACGACAGGGACAGATTAACATAAATGTCACCCAAAGCAGCGTTACTTTCAACAGCTTCTTCCTCACTATTTTTATCCATATTCAACTACACTTCTCCCGCCGAGACCTAACATTGACAGCACACTCAATGGAATATCACAGCACCTGCAGCAAACCTGCACTTATCACTATATGGCATTGCACAGAAGGGCGAGAGCCCAGCTCATGCTGGATTATAACAACAACAACAACAATCCATATTCAACAACTCAGCTGTAGAGGATTACTATGCTATACTATATTCAAACCAATTGACCAACATTCAAATGAGCACTGTGTATGGTTGGTGGGTGCTCTGGTGTGGTTTGCTTCTTCTCTCCTATCAAACATCTGTCGTCCTTATCTCCCCTTCTTCTTTTTATAATGTTAGTTACTCTCTTGTAACACCTCTAATCTTCTGGCGCTCATATGACCTTATGCAGTTGCGAGTGCCGTAAAACCTCTACTTTAAAAAAAAATTTTTTTTTTAAAGAGCACTAAACCAATGCGACTTGAGTAAAGATATGTTTTACAATAGGGCTTTTGTCTTCCTCTCTTTATCAATGTTCTTTCTACATGCATATGACAAACAGTAATATTTAGGGTTGGTGGGGAGGAGATAGATAGCTAGCACAAATAAGTGTGATCATATCAGACAAAGGGAAATCCCCACACTTTGAAACACTGACGTCCTGAAAGTATTTTGGACAAACTTTTGAGTAAAGTTTTTATCTGAATCAGATGTTTCTCTTTGTATATTATATATACGACCACTTGAAATTGAAAGTAAAAAGATATATATGAGTTACGACGCAGTGAAATCAGGCGCCCGTCAATTTTTGGGCATATTGAGTTATTGGTATCATCTTAAAGGCAGTTTATTTGTCATGCTTTTGATGAAAAAAAAATTGATTTATCTCGAACAGAAGTCGAGATATTTGCAACTGAAGGAGGTGGGATCGCCTGATTTCAGATGTAAAATTAGTGAGAAAATGGCCGCCAAAGTTTGGTGACTTCCATAGCTTTAAAAGAGTCCTTGGAAACTGCAAATTTACATCTGAGCTCTTATTCAACGTTTTTCCATAAAATTCATACATACATAAAAGTGTATTTGAATGGGCATACAAGGTGTTGAGACCCAAAACAAAAATTCGAAAAAAATGTCCAAACTGGCCGAAAATTGCTTATTTCTCGGATTTCATTGTTTTGACTAGCGCCTGATTTCACCACGATGCCTCACATATGACCACCAAAATTGGTATGGTTGTAGTTCAGGGGTCTTTCATCAGCTCTCAACAAATTTCTTACTGACAAGATAAACATAGTACGCAACAATTATCTTTGAAATATGACAAAATTTTCTCTCTTCTTGCACATCCCAGCCTTACATCATAGTGAGTCCACAGCTGCATTCCCTTCGAACCAATGCGGAAAACACTGGAGAAAAACTGTTCCTCATCAAAGAAGGGCGGCATGATGATGTCAGCTGCGAGCTCAGGAAACTGGACAGAAATGTCTGCCACATCCTTGCGAGGGTCATCACCCAGGGCCCTCAGATAGTACTTCTCACTCTGAGTACACAGAACAAATTTGAGTCAAGTGAATTAAAAATACTCACAGAATTACTCTAATATATAGTAAACTTACTCACTCTCTCTATAGTTTCTTTTACAAAATAGCAGCAACCCTCCTTACAAAAAAACAAAAAACAGAAAAAAGTAACCACAGAGTTTCGTAAATTTCAAGCTGGAAGATTAAAACCCAATGTGATCAGAAATAAAAGGAAGTTGAACAACTGAAAACCGAATAAAAATAAAACACGTTTTGTGAAAACCCAAGGTAGACAAAGAGCAGTCTCAGGCGAAGACAACTGTTTCTCACAGAGTTCCCCATCTCTTTCATAAAGTGTCCTACTCCTTATAATTAAAACTTAATTTTAAAAAACATCACAGTGTAAATAATACTGTACAATAATCTAAAAAGGTTACATAAATATAGTAGTAAAAGAAAAAGAGACTTCAAGACCATCATCTTACATTGGAAATAAAAAAGTCCTCATGCTCTTCCTGGGATGCTCGTTTCACAAACTCATCAAAGGGTAATGATCTGCAAAATATGTAGAAATGAATCATTTAATAGTTAAACACAGATTTTAACTCATGCTTTTGCACTCTTTAACATTTTTTTAAAATATGAAAATAACACATTATAAGGCTCTCATTGAAGAAAGCTGCACATGTACACCCATAAATTATGTCAATGGTCAACAAATAAAAATAAAATCAGACTTCTATCACTGATGTTATTGATACATTGACAGAGAGCCACACTTAGACGAAAGACTCAAAAGAAGTTTATGGGGGCACACTGAATTCTCAGAACATTGCTAATAATCTTTATTTTATTAGATAATTTAATACTCAGTGATCACAAATCTCCATTAAGTCTTTATCTCCGAGGGGGAGAAACCAACAAAGTTGGAGCCTTTTTTTGGTACTAAATTTTTAAACATGACAAAAATGTTACTAAACTGGTCATTAAAACAAAACAAGTGAACCTTTTTTGATCGTGCTTCAATCTAATGAATGAACTCCTGAAAAGAGACCTGTTCTTGGCAAAATTGCAAAAAAGTAATTTGATGTCACAAGTCGTCGTAAAGGAATGTGCCCAAGCCGCTATTATACCAGCGGCTCACCGGCACAGCGTTTCTGACCGTGAGCCGCTAATAAGGCTTGAGGAGATATAAGGAGTTAAGAGTGGTGAATTTATCAGATCAATTATTGAATCATAATATTCCAGACCAGTTCAATGGCTTTTAATTATTTGCGGGACATACTTAGTGAGTGGATCCAATTAGTGTTTTTTTACTTAATAACTGAATAGTGTACAGTAGACTGTGGACCTTTCATTATCATTATCATCTTGGATAGGGCTTAGTTTAATATAAATCAAATGATGCATGATATATTGATGGGCATGGATGGAGAAAGGACTTGATTGTAGACTGTAGAACAATTTTGGGAAATCTCCGGGTTTGGACCCAAGGGTAGGCCCTGTGCCTGTGTAAAATTAATTGAAGTGCGTGGCTATTCGGACTCGAGTCCGAATAGACAAAATAATTATATATTCAGACTCTGAATTGAGTCCAGCATGATGCCCATTCCACTTCCAACCCTTGTTCCTAAATCAGAATTTACGAACATTTTTCCGATTATAGACAACAGTTGAGACGTGTGAGCTTTAATATATATCCAGTTACTAGACCTATCTCTATTATACACTGGTCCTCCCTGCATCATTAGTATGAACAAAACGACTAAGTTGAGCTGAGCTTGCGGGGGGGCAAAGTTAATAATTATGTCGACCAAAGAGACTACGAGTAGCCATCATGCACTCTCGGCTTGCTGGGGGAAGAGGTGTTGGGAAGAGGCCATGGCTGTCGGTTTTGTGCCATGAGATGAAAAAAATTAATTTAATGGAAAAATTATAACACACAACAAAATCAAATTAAACATGTGGACAGACAAATGGTGGTGGAAGTAATGATGATGCTGTGGTGGTGG